CCCCCCCCCAGAGCACAGAAAGCCGGGACTGCGGCCACGGCTACATGGTCAGACTCTGTTCAGGCTTTTGAAGCCATATTCATGACTGGAAAGTTTTGCACAGCATTTCAGAGCTATCTTATCCCCCCCCCGCGCGTGGTCTGCTCCAGGCGATTGGACGGCTTTGCTGATAACTTGCTTAATGTCGTCTATCGAGGCTTACTGTCTTATTGGGTAACGACCCTCAGAGTGGTGGAGAATGGCTATACTGGTCGAGGAAGGAGTATGTAGAACATCTTGATGAACGGCTCGGGGACAGTGGATGCTGCTGGCGCTGCGCTGTCGGAGTAGCCATCACTCACTCCGAGGAAATGCGTCCGGCAATCGATCGGGCTACTATCACACCGAGGGGGGAGGGGTGGGAATAGAACGGTGGTAGCGTGCAATCATTCGCTTGTGGTGACGTGCGATGTGGTTTCAAAGTTGGGCTCGGAACCCTCTTCATCGAGACGAGAACCCGACCATTGCACCGCAGTCAGGAGTGTGCTGGTGAAGTCACCGGGTGTGCTTGCTAACTCATGTCTATACGCTCAGGAGGTCTGGTAGACGGTCCGGAGGAAGTCGGAGGCGACCCGGGCGTGTACCACTATCCATCTGATTGATCTGTACAATGAAGTGGTGACTCCTACTTCGTCAAGCGAGCAATGACGGGGACATAAACCTCTCACATCTCGACATTGCTTTAGAGCCCAGAAACGTCGGAAAAACTGCACCCGGCTGGCATCTTGATTAGCTTGGTATCAGGTAAGATGTGGATGGTGAGAACCTTTGCTATTGTCTTTTGCCAATGAATTGTATGGCTGAGTTATCACAGTGCGTTTCTGCGTTGATGATTCCCAGGGGAGCCCTTCCTGGAACTCCCTGGCAATAGGACGAGATGGCTGTAGTCAGGAGTCACTGGTACAGAGTAATAATTAATACTCTTGAGCAAGACTACATGTCTTTTAGATGTCAGATGAGTTACTCTATAGCCGCACTGGACACATGCGAAAGCAGAAGTCTCCCTGAGCTTGGAGAAAGGACAGATCAAGGCCCCCGGGGGCCAGCAGACTAGAGACCCATGAGGAGTCTCAATTACCCCTGCAAACAAAGCTACTGCTAGCCTTCGAAGAGCTCATAAAATCTAGGTTATTCTTACATCTCATCCCAAGTTTGTGGCCGAGTGGTCAAATTAGTGAAACAAGAATCAACAGTGACTTAGGTTATGCCCCATCGCTGCCGGTTGGAAGCAGAGCGCTTTAACCAGTATCCTGCCATCGTATAAGTTCCATCGCCATAATGTATTATTCATGGAACTGCGTTCAGCACGTAGCCCGAGTGGGCTGAGTGAGCCACTGAAGACTCGTATCACCCACCCTGTGGCCGCATGTGCTCAGTCGGTAGAAAGGTGAGCCTATCTGCTCGAGACTAGCCAAGACTCGTGCTCTGTGTTAGGTCTTCCTGGTAGATGTTGAGGAAAGTTGCTGTCTGCAAGATCAACCGTGTGGGAGAGCTTTCCTGGGAAACAGCCATGGTGGAGTCATGCCCAGCTCGGCTCCATGCTGAAAACACTCCGTCGACCGGGTAAAGCAACTTCCAGATTGATGGAGCACCTGGGCTGGAGAATATCTGGCCACGGAAGAGGCATTCACAGAGAGTCCTTCGATTCGAGCCTGTTTGGGTATGTACATGGAAGGAGCAAGTCTAGTCGTAATTCTTTTTTGGAGTCGATCTGATCTAGTACCGGGGGGGAGGGTGAGTGCGGGTGCCGCGCAACAGCCTCGTGAGACCTGTCATATTTCAAATGAATATCACTGTCCCATACCGTCTGATCTTGAGCGCTGATTGGTGCGGCCGACAGTACCGAAGCTCTTTTATCAGACACTTCAGGCGGCAGACCCTCATGGCTTTTGATGTTGTTTTCTGTTTACGGCAGAGTCACGCATGTAGATCTCCGCTCCGGGTCGTGTTAAAGTGGCGATTCTGCAAATGTGACCGATCGGAAAACACACATCGTCATTTCGCACAGTCAAAACGGTCCGAAATAGGGGCGTTATGCAATTGTTGGTTTAGGTGGCCAGGACAATCGATACCGGGTTGTGGTGTGAAGGTTCGTCTACCATTGTATGTCAGCGAAAAACACCGGTCAGGAGTCGGACGAGGGGTAATGAAATCAAACGGCTGGTAACATACAAGGCATTAGGGACCAGAAATAGTAGGCAGCCGAGAAAAAAGAAAGAATGGAGAAGAGGACATAGCTGGCGAAGCCAAGCAAGGAGTTTTCCCTATACCCACATAGAGCGCGAAGGAGGCTGAAGGCATCATTGTGATCATCGAGATATTCGTAGTACAACTGGTTCTTTTCGATATCAGGAGTCCAACGGTCTGATGGCTGGCTTTGACAATGTGGTGTATCCTGATTGCTACATGGTGTCAATTGGCAATTGTATGCCGGACTTCAAGTAGGCTGGACTGACCTGTTCAGGGGTAGTTGGTTGCTCATCTCACTGGCCGTCCGCCGCGCAACCACGTAATGGCAAAGGATGGGGAATATGCAGTCAGCCTGAGATAGAGTTCAGTGCGATAGAATCCTTCCCAACCGGAGTGTGTCTGTCAGTTTCTTTATCGTTTATCAGTGAGACATAATGATTGATTTCCCCAGGAAATCTTAATGCACTGGACTAGGCTAGCTACTCGTAACTACATTATGTACTTATTCAGTTAGTTGAGCTTGTGCGGATGACTCAGCTGTCACAACATGAGCATAAAGCCTGGATAGGGCACTAAAAATGGGTCCATTTTCGCGCGCTGAAGGATGGTTCAAGGTTGCTCGGTAGTTGTCCGTCGCTTAGAGGTAAGTTATTCTCTCCTCCATAGGACTCCACATGATGATTCTCTCGTATGACTCGTACGAAACACAGCAGAAGCTCAATCGAGTTGTGGAAAGCTTCAGGACCAGTCAGCTCGGCTCGATCCTTGCTACCGAGCCATGGAACGCCTATGCCATAGTTCAAAGCCTCGCGCGCCATGAAGAGTTGAAGTGCCACATGTTGTGGGGACTGGTTACCAGAGATGATAACCGCATGTTCACAACAAATAAAAACAATGTTATGCTCATCCTCCTGATAAATGTTCACTCATTGCCACCCACAATAGGGTAAGAGTTGTCAATGAACAATAAGACGACCTTGAAGCTTGGGCCATCTTAGGCACGTATTACCAATCTGACGGCACCACAAGCAGGAAAATTAAGCGATGCTCAAGACACCACCATTCTGGGTTCATCACGTAAATGCTCAGAACGAATATTTGACTTGACCCCGGCCTTCATGGGAGGGAGTTAAGGAGGACCATCGCGGTAGAAGAGCTCGCATGCTATGAACCGCATCCTGACATTTGATGACAGCAGCGTCCCAGGCCACTCGTCAGGGAAACATGGTTAGCAGGCTACGTACTAAAGCCATAGCTGTATCTTCAGCTATCCACTTGACAGGAACGGGATTTGCTCGCTGAGAATTCGGCCCCCCCCGCTTTACCCTGGTCAAGTCTCGGCCGCCCACCGCCCCTGGGCAAACGAAGCCATTGTGATCAACACCAGGATCCCGAAGCTTGCGTTGTTTGTGGCGATAGTGGATTCTGTTGTTCAAGTATTGCTCGAGCTTGGTAAGGAAGACCGAATTGTCTCGCCGGCTCCTGGTAGTTATGATTTAGTTGTGATTTAAAGTTTGAATACGGGGAAGCCGCGGCATATCGTCCTTTCGATTTAATTTGTTCTCACTTTCGCTTGTCGATTGGGAATATGTTGATAGGGTGCTTACGAGAGTGTTCTGCATCCGTACCGGACCTCACCGACAGAAGTGCGGAGGTTCGAGCAGGAGCAGGACGAATAGCCGGCTCCAGCACCTATAGATTCAACAAATTACCACGCCATGTTGTGCTGTGGATATTATTAGCGACAAATGAAGATCCCCTGGCCGAAGGTAAGCAAGCTGACAATGCAACCTCGGAGGTTGTTTACCAATGATCTGCCTCTTGCTCGCGTTCGGAAGGATGAGGATGGGCGCACATCACTCCCCTTTCCGGTCCCCAGCGGCCGTTGAAAAAAGCATAGAGCTTTGCATTATTGGTGGAACCCGGATGTAGACCGCATTTTGAACTGACAGTTCTTATTTCTCACCACGCGAATGGCTTGAGGGTTCGCCAATGAATGGGGTGGAACAGGCCTCTAACGGGTATGCTTCTATGCATGGAAACCCGGCTGGAGTGTGCCACGCTGCCCGTTAACCAGAAGAGGACCCCCTCCACCTGTGGGGATCACAACAGCCTAAGCTGGCTAAGCATAACTGGGAAAATAGGGGTGGGCGAAAGGATTTCTAGGTGTGGGAAGGCTTGTCTAGCATGGTGCGACACTCATCGATGAACACAGAAGGGATATAGACTGTTGCACTTTGAGGGAGCTGCAGTCAATTGTTGGACCTGAGGATCGGTCAGCAAACCCAGCTGTCGATGGAAGGAACATATTTCTGAGAATTGGGAACTATGCGTAGCGTAGTGCTTAGGTCTGCGACCACGCAAGAAGGGTAGTCTATACCGTCAGCAACATTAACTTATTTGATTGTTGAGTAGGGGTAAATGTGCCGCGAAGCTCAGTGCGTCCTGTCAGGCCCTTTGATTGCTCCGGGTGTGGGGCCAATGGAAGAGCGCAGGCACTCACTAAGGAAGCCACTCCATGGTGAAACCACTACCGATTTAAGGATCCAACAATACAAGACGATGCGGAGCACGTGGTTCCCGGGGGGCGCAAACTGTGGGTTTTACTTGGTAATTACCAAAGCAGTCGGTATTGTGACCATTGTGACTCTGTATGTGTTGTGCTGTATATGTGTATCTATGATTCCATCTACAAGTGTGTATCCTCAACCCTCGAATTACCTGTGACATTATCTCAATTGACGAGTTTAGATCAATGCGAGTTATGTTAAAGTTTCGCTGGCGTCACGACAATCTTCTTGCCGGGGGGGGGGGGGGGGGGGGGGGTGTTTGTTGCAGTCAGTACGAGAGAGATACGTAGCACAGGTCTGTCATTCATGCCCCACAGCTATTGAGTCTGCATTCTCCGTCTGTGACCGACAAAAGCGAGCAGTAAAAGTCTTATCAAACCAAATGCGGTCGTGGCTGCGATAGAGTCTTGGTATCTCAACATTGTGATTGTCACCCAGAATTCTCGCGTGAATGCAAGCTACATGTCACCTTCCGGAATGTCTGTGACTCGTTCATTCCTCACGGCTATTCCCTTGCATTGTCTCGAGGAATGCGGCAGGCCTCTATACAGATTGGCAACACTATCTCACGTGCTTTGCGATTAGATCTAAGAGACCTGGCATAGCGCCCGTGGGTTCTGCATCGAGTACGAAGTAGGACAATTGTGAGTGGTCTGACCCATCCCAAGCACTCTGAATCTATATCCCAGTATCTACCGACAGCGCGAGCATAGTTCATTCAACAATGAGGTCTAAGTTGAACAATAGAAGCGGCGCCTTCTCGGGTAGAGCTAACCACACTTGTGAAAGGTCCATCATTAAAGGTCTTGCAGGGCAGTGGCATGCAATATGGATCCTCTAGGGACAATGCAGCTGCGCGGATGCTGCCGCTCATCAATTAGCATCATTATTCAGATAGACACTTCCCCATGCCAAATCCGGGGTGGATGCCCGAGATTCGCTCCTGTAGATCCCCTCTCCCTGGACCATCTCATTACGAACACTCTGCATATGATATGTCCGGGAGAGGCGCACACTCCCGCTAAGGGTTGCATGGAATGCGCAATGTTTACCTGTTCCGTCAAGTTTGCCATGCTACTTGATGCTACTCCGTACTTCAGGTAAGTTTCTAACTGTAGGTCGAGTCCGCAACCGGCCATCCTCCGCGAACAGATTGGGACGAAATTGACCTGGTCCATGCCGACGGCTGCTGACTCATAGCTTCCCCTGCCTTAGCGCCCTCCACCAGTGTATTATTCCTTGCTTGGCAGCTCTGATGAAACCGGAAACCTGCAATCCCGACCGACTCATCTGCGTGGTACTGTATCAACACAGAACAGATTACCATTCCTACCATACTTACCATACATCCGTCGTTATCATCCATGTGATTAGTAATTGGGCAACCTGGGCACTCGGGGCAATCGACTTGTAACTGCTCCGGAGGTAAACTATTGATAGGTCGCTTCGGAATCATGACAGATCATGATCTGGGTGGGATAAAGTTTGGCACTCCAAAGGTTGTTGGACCAAACTACCTACGGAGTACCTACGCTAGGTTCGTGCGCCGCCTCCTGAATCCTGATACTGTTGCCTACTTGGTCCTAGCATGGCGCTGGATCAGTTCGAGGTTCGCTCTTTCGACTGATTATTGAAAGGATCGATAGATGGATCGATAGATGAAACCGCGCCTAAGCCCATTAGCCAGCCGATGATCGAAGGCCTTTTTGTCTTTGTTCTTGATCAGTCGAGCTCCTCAATGCTGATGTATACACCGATTGTTGATTCAACAGTGTCGGGTAGGTAGGTCCAGACCTGTATGCTGTTGAATAAATTGACGATGATCTGCTCCCAGTCTGGACATGATGCTCGGTGAGCCAAAGCAGCCCTAACAGAGCATGCCTCTTATATATTTGCTGGATGGCAATCTACAGTGGGATCTCTAGCCATCGAGATCTACAGGGCTCTTGTGTTGGTTGCTGAGCTTAGAGCTAAATCACCTACGACTTCGGAAACCCAGGGTTGACCGCATGAGAACGAGACTTCGACTCCACCAATTCACTGGAGCTAGCCAGGGAGACTGGGAGACTGTCTTTGTTAGCAGCTTAGGTCGTGGTCAGCACCTTCCAAGGTTTGCTCCATGCGCTGTGAATAAGGTTCAGTATGACTCTAAGGCAATTATACGTCGATCCGTGCATGGCAGCGCGGTACTCCCGTGCCTCGTGGTGTTGTGTGCGAGTAGTAAGAGGAACTATGTTTGGATAGTGTGAAAGTCAAGCTCAAAACACGGATAGGACTACCTGAAGGTGGAAGAGAAAGGCGATATAGGGGGGACTTAGGCTGGAAAGTCATTGTCTTTGTTTGAATCATACGATGACGAAGCTGGTTCCGGTCGGTAGTTGGCATGGTTAGACCCTCATGATACTGCAGTCTACTGCAGACCCATGGCATGGGCATAGGTCATGAAACCTTCACTGGGTCTCAAGAGGAGAAGCTCGAGTCAGTCGGAGCCAGTTGAAGTACAGTACAATACTGGTAAGTGCTGGTAAGCGCTGGTAAGTGCTGGTAAAGCCGTGTATGTATGTATCAGTATGGTCACAATGCTTGTTGTATGGCATATTACATTACCTAGTACTATCTCCAATCGGCTCGAATCAGACTAAGAGCGGGCGAAGAATCAAGTGGTGGATCCAGGCCTCATCCACCGGAGCCACTCGTATTATTGCTGTGCCGGTGCCCCTCTTAAGTCTTGACATGACCGAATCAACTACCTAACCTACCGGAGACTAAGGAGTCTAGCTCTCCGCTCGCCATGTTATCTCCTCTCCACTGCTACCTACTAGGTAACTGACACTAATTGCATAAGGGCTTACTTATGGCTAAGTCCCTTAGCACCACCGCTACCACCTTCACACTCCCTCAAAACACCCTCACACTTCTTCTTCTTCTCTCTCTCTCTTTCTCTCTCTTTTCCTGTTGAGTTTCTCACCTCCCCTGGGACGAACGAAGTTGAGTATCTTACCACTCATCACTTGTCGTATTACAAGTCTTACAGGCGCCGCGTCAGGGCCATTCAGGATCCAAGAAAACCCACACCCACCGACTGGACTGACCTTGCTAGCAAAAGCACTGCGACCCACTCCGATCGGGATTACTGGAATATCTCAACGAATTGCGCGACACCTCCGTTACCTCGTCCTGTCCACCAATTACTCTTTCTATAGACCGATCTGCTGCTTTCGACAAGGATACTTCTCCTCCTTCATCCTCTGTGCTCCTTTCTGCTCCTTCTCTACAATTCCCTCCGTCTCTCCCATCAGCTGTGATATGGGAGTAATGCACATCTTCCTCCTACGCCAACTCCGATTTTGATTACCTTCGACTCTTCTCTCATTCAGCTGGAATACACCCTCTCCTTCGTTTTCATATTCAACAGGGGTATAGCGAGATAAATATATCGTCGCACCTATCTCGCACTCGAGTTTCTCAATCCCTCTTCCTGTCGCCGACATCGTTGCGCTTATCAAAGCCCCAAAGTCGCACGGAGCTGTAGCCGTCGAATCTCCCGTTCTTGCCAACCAACTCGCTTCTCCTTAAAGCTTTCTTGCCTTCGAATCCACCTGAATACTGTCGAGAAACTATCCACAGCGGACTCTCTGCGCGTGGAGATAATCGTCGTATATAGGCCGCCACACAAGACCGATACTTGGATAACTGGGAAGTGTTGAGCCAGCAGCCGCGGATAGTTCGGCGAAAATAGAATATCTCAGTGTACGTACAAATTTCCCGACGCCTCTCGCTGCTGCTGCAGGAATAAACTCGGTGGAAGCGTGTCTAATCTTACGCTGCGGATATAGCAACTCTACCCCTCCGCTTGTCAGACGTTTTCTTTGTTCCCGAGTGTAAGTGACTTCATCTTAATCCGAATTTTGAATGGCGGCACTGTTTCCCCCACTTAGAGTCAGATCTGCACCTGATACATGTTTCGAGTGTAACCCACTTGACTGGTCATTCCTCGCAGCCTGAGCGCATCCCTGATTCAATCTCAGACCTGACAGTCTTTGCGCGCATCTTTGGATGAATTTCCGGAATCACTTCATTAACACAACGGAAACAGACACTTCTTTTCACATTTGTCAGGAATCAATTATACTATCGCAAAATGGGTTGTATGAGTTCGAAGCCCGTAGATGCGGGAGATAAAGAAGCCCTCCAACGGAATGTGAGGATAGAGAAGGCGCTCAAAAATGACAAGAAAGTGATGGACAGAACGATCAAAATTCTTCTCCTTGGTAAGTATGCGATTTGGCACACGCCGATGCCTGGTTTGTTCTTCGCACTGACCAGATCTGTCCAGGTGCGGGAGAGTCCGGCAAGTCAACAATCATCAAACAGATGCGCATCATCCACTCGGGAGGATTTCCTGAAGACGAACGAATTCAGACTCGGGCGGTAATCTACTCGAACCTGATTATCGCCTTCAAAGTTCTATTGGAAATTATGCGTACAGAGAGCATTGATTATCAACTTGAAACAACTAAGGTAAGTTGACCCTCAAACCGATGAAAATTATTATCCAGGTCCACTGCTTGGATCTGACGGTCCAGAAACTAATTACTGAACTCATGGGCTTAGTCGCTGGGTGAATTTATTGACAATTTGGAGCCGGATGTGGGCTCCGATGAAGCATTCTCGGATTTGAAAGTTCGTGATGCTTTGAGGGATATTTGGGACGATTCAGGCGTTCAGAAGGCAGTGGCTCGAGGACATGAATTTGCGCTTCATGATAACCTACACTAGTGAGTGGCGAATGACGGCTTAGCCTAAGCGACTCAACTAACCTTCTTTCCAGCTTTTTCGAATCCCTTAACCGGATATTTACTCCCGGTTGGCTCCCCGACAATCAGGACATGCTACAAGCTCGGTTGCGAACGACAGGAATAACGGAAACTCTCTTCGAACTCGGTCAGATGAACTTTCGGATGATGGATGTTGGCGGACAACGATCCGAGCGCAAGAAATGGATTCACTGCTTCGAGGGTGTGCAATGCCTTTTGTTCATGGTTGCCTTATCAGGATACGATCAATGTCTTGTTGAGGATCAGAATGCCGTAAGTCATGGTCTCATTTTGTCTGATCTAGTACCATCTAACCATTTTGTGCGCACAGAACCAAATGCATGAGGCAATGATGCTATTTGAATCACTTGTGAATGGCGAGTGGTTCAAGCGCAAGCCCATCATTCTCTTCTTGAACAAGATTGATCTCTTCAAGGGGAAACTTCAAGTTTCGCCTGTCTCTAATCATTTCCCCGACTACAACGGTTCGAACACCGACTTCGATGCTGCAGCAAGATACTTCGCCGACCGCTTCCGAGGCATCAATCGGATTCCAGACCGCGAGATTTACATCCACTATACAAACGCCACCGATACCACTTTATTGAAAGCTACCATGGATTCCGTGCAAGACATGATAATCCAGAAGAATCTCCATACCTTAATACTCTAGGGTATTACTAGGCATGACTAATATCTAATGAAACATTCTTGCGGCCGTGGGATCTCCATCTCCCACGAGATATTATTGATATTACCTTAGCAGCATTACTTCCTTGTGCTGTCCGCAACTGCTCGACGCCATTCTCTTCCCTTGTCATTCTCAGGATCGTCCTTGGCTCGCTTGGATGACTTTCTTATCACCACGCTCTTCTCTACTGAAAAAAGCACGCATCTCATCTTCGATTCAGCGGCGTGAATCTCCTTTCTAATGCAGATTGATACCATATACCATATAGTTGTGTCTGTGTCTGCGTCCTTAGCAACACCTTATGATTTCGTTTGGCCTTTATTTCCAATGCTTGGCCTCTCATTGGGTTCATCGGTTCCATCTCTTTCTTCAATGTATCTACTTCATTCTCTTATTCAGTGTTACATAAAGGACAACATTTGTTTGTCGAGTTGACGGCAATCATGCACGTCTTCCAAATTTTAGATCACTCGAAGACCTACAGTTGTAGTATGTCCTATCTTGGAACGATCCAAGTTTGCGTGGCAATTATTGTAACATGCGCATTGCCAATAGGCCCATTGCGAAAGTATAAACAGCACTTTTCTACTTTTAAATCCCAAACTGCTAAGGTTTCCTTTGTGTGGTGGTGCGAACAACGCAGCTCACCTGAGCCCCCTTGGTGGGAAGCAACAACTTACATGGTTACTACCGCCAGAGATACGGAGATCACAGAGGCTGGGCATTGTAGCCATTTAGTTCAGATGGAGTGTGTCAGGTCAAAGGTGGCAGAATCTGTTCCCTAACTCGAGATCATACAAGCCTTGATATCACATGACCTGCCACAATATCCCGCAAATCTCTGCTGAGCTAAGCAGAGATCCGCATGATCGGCTCATCAACTTCAACTTCGGTTTCGCCTCTTTCGCATCCGCCAAGTTCGTTTACCCAGCTTCTGGGACCTTACGACGCTTTGGAAACCAGAAAAATGCTTTCTTCCTCGCTGCGCCGGGCGGCCTGGGCCCCCATTGCCCCTATCTCAGGCGTCACTCGCGCCTCAAGCCAAACTCTCACCACCTCCGCGAACAACCTCACCGGCTCAACGCAGCCTGTGCGTCAACGGCGCTACTCCTCCTCCTCGTCCTCGAATTCTAGCGATGGCGCAAGGAAGCTGGAGTTGGAAGTGAACTCAGGGAAGTCGACCCGTCGGAGTCGTAAGGACAATGTCCGCACGGGCTCCAACAAGCAACAGCAGACGGCATTTTCCCGACTTCCCAGCGTTCCCTCGACCCAGCACCTCCTCCCGCATGGTAAGCCAGCCAGCCAGCTCGAACAGGTTTTCCACTTTCCAAAAGACAAACTGCGACATGGGGGGAAAAGCAACGTGACAAGCTCCCGAAGCCGAACTCCAGCTGCTAACACATTTTTTCTTCTTTTCCATGCAGATGTGCAGGTCGCTTCCTTCTTCTCCATCCACCGTCCCATCTCCGTCTCCACCAGCGTGCCCCCGACTTCCACCTCCGAAGCCTTCGACGCCATTTTCACCGAGCGCAAGCCCGCCGTCGACGATGTGATCTCCACGCTCTCGTCCGCTGTCCACTCCATGGAAGGCGAGGACGACCACAACCACTACCAGGCCGTGCTGCAGGAATTGACCGACCGCAATTTCCTCCAGCAGGGCCAGCAGGGCCAGCAGGGCCAGCAACCCTCTCAAACCATGAACCTGACCCTCTCCATCGAGGAACTCACCAAGCGCCTGCGGCCCTTCCATCCTCCTCCACCCCCGGTCCCCATGAACGAGATGTCCGCCAACAACAACACCACCAGCGAGCAGCAGCAGCTCCTCCCCCCAACGACGACGACGGGTAACCATCACAACAACACGACGGAAACCTACTCCGCCGTCCTGACCATCCACGAGTCCACCCTCCCCGATGGCCGCAAGACCTACCAGGCCCACGCCGGCCCCTTCATGCCCACCAAGGATATGGGCGTCCCCGGGGCTGCGCAGGCGCCGCCGGAGATCGTCGAGGCCTACATCGATGTCGTGGACCCCTCCGCCCACCCGGAGCTCAGCTACATCGACCAGCAGGATCAGCAGATCAACGGCCCCATGCAGGCCATCAGCACAAAGAGACGTCGTCGGTTGAAGATGAAGAAGCACAAGTTCAAGAAGCTGTTGCGGAAGACGAGAACCTTGAGGCGGAAGTTGGAGAAGTCTTAAGAGGCTTGCTTTTTTCCTTCTCCAAACCCAAGACATGTGCTTTCTTTTTGTTCTTCTTTTGTGTCTCGTTGCTTTGATGAATCCGGTTTCCCTATTTCCGGTTTTTTTTCCCCTCCTCCCAACAACTTTTCGAAAGCAACGTTGACCTCTGGTTTCTCTGAATATCTTCCGTTTTTCTTGCTTGACTTGCATGCATCTTATCTCTATCTCCCTCCCCATCAACCGACCTACTAGTCATCCAATTCAACCGACACTTATAGACAATACTATGTGACATATTATCATTATTCTCAGTTCTCAGCTGGTTAGGTTCGTGTAATCCTATGTGCGTATGTGCATACCCACTCTTTCCGGACGTTTATCTATGCTCGTAAGGCGATGCGCATGCTTCATACCTGGAAGTATTTGCCAGGGCCTTGTTTCCCCCCTTCTCCCAGCTCAGATCAATTTCAGTGTCAGGATCAATTGATTCAACAAGTACCGACATGACACCCATAGAGTACAGGAAGCAAGCAGTAAGCATGTAAGCAACGCAAAAGATAAAACACAAAAAAAGAAAACCTTTAGCCATGCAATAGTAAATTCAAATATCTACCAACCAGTCAAACATCGCCCCCTTCGCCACTTCATCCCACTAATAGTAGTCTACACTGGCATATAATCTCCTTCTCCTGCTCCAAGGGACGCGAAGAAATGGAAAAGGAGGGAGATTGATATACCTATCCAATAGCCGTCCCTTTTCTCAACTCACAGACCCTGCAAGCGGATCAACTTGTTTCTCCACCACTTGTCGGTAACGTAAATCTTAGGGAATGTTTCCGACGACCAAGACACACACACACACACACATCACGTTAAAAGATCATGTTTTCTTGAGAATGGATTTCTGGACCAAATCCGCGCTTCACGGTATAAACGATTCGTAACATGGGGAACACTAGGCTTCAACGACGGGGCACCGCTCGCGCGGGTTCTTGTTCACATCTCGTCGTTGCCATCGCCGGTGCGCGCACGAGTCTCACAGAGAACGTGCGGGCGAGCGAGCATTAGGATTGTTCGCTTAGCAGACGGCGTCAATTCTCGAGCGGGAGTTCATGAGAAGGGCGACGATAAGACCGTACAGACCTGATAAGAGGATCGGTGGTTAGTGGTGCCGGAGTAGACATATTATAGATATGGTGGACGTACCCAAAACTTCAGCAAAAATGAGAATCAAAATCATTCCAACGTAGAGACGGGGCTGTTGAGCGGTTCCACGGACACCAGCGTCACCCACAATACCAATGGCAAAACTTTAAGATAAATAGTCAGCTTCTCGGCTCGAAATCGTAGCAAAGCCCAAAGAACATACCCAGCAGCCAGACCGGCCAGACCGACAGCGAGACCAGCTCCCAGCTGAATGAATCCGGTGTACAGCGGCACCTTTTGGTTCAGATCGTTGGCGATAAGGACGGACACGACCAGACCGTAGATACCGATAATACCCGCCATGACAATGGGGACGATGTCTGTTATCACACTCGTTAGTTGCTCAGTTCCAAGTATAGACTGCAGAAGCCTGGTTTCTCCTCCACAGCTGCAGCGAAAGTTGAAAAGGGTTTCCAACGTACTCTTGACGATCAGATCGGGTCTGAGGACGGCCATGCCGCAGACACCGACACCGGCCTTGGCAGTTCCATAGGCAGCTCCGAAGCAGGTGAAGACGATGGCTGAGGTGCAACCCAGCGCACCGAAGAAGGGCTAATGGGCGGCAGTTAGCTGTTTGTACGAGGGGGTCTTCGTTTCGTGCAAGGTGACGTTGCTCCATTCGTGGAGGACCCGACGGTCGCCCGTCGAGCTTCAGCACATGATCGATGAGGGGTGCGAGTCAACTCACAGCATAGACGGGGCTATAACCATACAAATTAGCACAGTCCGCAACAGAGCACTGATGGGTAGGATTGATAGCTTATCGCACAAGCTATGCGTTGGGATGTTGGGAAAAGGAGTCAACCAGGGTGATTACGTACCAAAGTTCGGTGGCCATTTTGTTGGTCTAGATGGCTGTTTGGAGTTTGACAGATGCGAAGAAGCTATAGGAACAGCCGAGAAAAGTGAAAGTAGGGTAGAAGAAGGCCGCGTCGACAGCGATGAGATGAGGCGAAGGCGTGGGAGAGCTGAGACGGAGATGGAGGCTTGGAAGGCGAACACGCTGGTTGCTTCGGAGAGGTTCACCGACCACCTGCGCTACCACGTGACCTGCGGCTTGGCGCCTTCCCGCATCATTTGCCCCAACCACTGACATCAGCACTGGATCGACCTAACTATCCGCGATCTCTACGAAGTACTATGCTGCATTCATTATACCCCAATTCATCAATACAATATTTTACATGACTAGCAACCATTCTATATGATCCGATCATCAGTTCAGCTCTAATGCCACCCGACATCCTGGAATGTCGAACTTCGAGCTCGATTCGTGCACTTCCCCAGTTGACTCTTTCCCAGCCATGGGTTGCACGTAGGTTATAGCTTTCTCCGACAGCCCACCAAAGTAGCCAGGAACTACCCGAAGGTCTTTCTGTTCAGCAGATTCCCTTTGCAAAGGAACAGCCTCGGCGTCCGAGACAACGCCGAAATGGAAGGCATTGCCTCCAGTCCGAGATGCCGGCCAATCTGGATGACTAGGTTCAACGGAAACGAAGAATTGGACGTAGTCGCCAGGCCCTGCAGCCTGCGAGAGAGTGGAAAGATCCTCGCCGAAGCCGCGCATCTCGAATGGCGGCGGCGGAGGCGACGGCAGTGAATTCGTCGAGACTTCCGCATCGCCCGCAGTAAAGAGTCCCTCGAGCCCCAGTAGCCTGTCTTTCTGGGTTGATTCCATGAATGTTGTTTCAGGGTCTAATGATAGAAGGCCCTGTTTCTTGCCCCATCCTCCTCCGCCACTCATCACTCGGTGGAGTTTACCGCCCTTCCGGATCGCCTCGATAAGGCTTTCTTGAGAAGCCTCCTTGCCTGCCGTGTAGCCCTCCTCGGACGTCTCAATTAAAGCCCAAACGGAGACCCTTTGGTCAGTGATGTTGTGTTCGGCAATGTAGCGAGGGAGATCCTTCTCAAGCTCCAAGGAAGCTGGCATGGGATCTTGGGAGTGTTTATCTGTATGTTTGGACAATTGACGGAGAATGTTTCCCATACTGGAAATGACCCTCCTTCGCTGCCCGACGGGGTACAATGGAAGCTCGAAAGAGTCGCTAACGTTCGCTGCTGGTGAAGTGACAATGCAGTTCGACAAGTCCAGCGCACGGTCGAGTGTATATCTCTTTGCAGCAGTATTGTAGATCCAACGGGCTCCAAAGAGAGTATTCTCCTTTCCATTGATGAAGATCGTATTTGCAAGTCGCAGGCCTACTTCATGGATGGATTTCTTAAATCCTCCATTCGATGCCTGAGTATCGCTTGTCGGAATTGAGAATACTAGTCCTGAATCTGTGGCCTCCATGCTTCGTGCCCGGCGAGGCGCAGCGAGCTGACCTTGTACATTGTCCCTATTAACTAACAGCACCGATATCCCGTCGGCTTCCTGGGCGCTGGGGCTTTCCCCATTCTGTAGTGCGTGTGGTCGAGTATCAGGAAGCTTATCGACAATTGCGAAGATAGAATTCACAGGATCGGTGGACCCTGAAAAAAAGTGGCTCATCCATTGTTCAGGGAATGTGTGAGACGACAACTCGATCCATGATGCGAAAGCGCAGGTCACGAGAAAGATAGGAACATCATCGGATCGTGGTAGATATTCGGGGTAAGAAGGCGCACTCGAAATGATATCGTCTGGGGTCTGTGGAGAGGTCAATTTATATCCAGAGGACAGGAAATAGAAACGCACGATCGCGCCTGGAGTCTGCGTGAGCCAAGTATAGGCAATGGGGCGGGCACTGGAAGCCGTGTTTGCGACCGACCTTCGAATAATGGAAGGGATGCGCCGATCTGTATAGCGACGACAAGCCAGCCGTGCTGGCAATGAGCGCGGGGCGGACCCAAGCATTAGTAACATAGGAGTAACATGAATACCTCAATCGAACTTGAGATTTTTCGACCAGCTACAAGTCAGGAGCATTGCAACTTGAATGTCATCCTGGCCCGGAAATGCGGAGGGAGCGGTGGAGTTTTGGAAGCTCACCGCCTAGGGACTCGGTGTAAAATGATCCTACCTCTCGATTGGAACTCGTCTTTTGGCCGAACCTGCTTGCTTCATTGCACCTCTTGGCTCGAAATCTAACCATAACATACTGATTTTGTGAACCATCGTTGGCTGTCCTATACTTACAGTGGTCGAGATTAGCGACAATCCTGTCATGGCCCTTGCCACATACTGTCACGCACATACCAGCAGTCCTGTCAACGATCAAGCGGCTCAAGAAACCTGCCATCCTCGGTAGGATTATGCTTGGCATAACTAATGCGAGGCCGGTGTCTATTGCACCCTTCAATCAGGACTTTTATGCATGGCAATACCCAAAACCGTGCGCGATTGATTGTGTAGATCAAGCATGGGGCACTTCAACAAGGGTGTTGGAGACGCAGAAAGCTTGTTTCCTTCGATTTGCATAACCCTGGGTGGCTATGACATCATTCATCATTGATGATTCTGGAAGGATTCTTCATCATGTCTAGACACACGGATGACTAAATGGCAGATATGGTGTAGATCGATGCAGAGGGGGGCGTTCTTCTCTGCAACCCTCGGGCCTTGCGGCTCGATGCGACTGATGTCTCTGAATATACAAGATGACCAGGGAGATGCGCGGCTGCGGCCAGGTTCGAAGCAGATGTGGAAGTGTGCTACCTACGGATTGTTATAGCTTTTTGCCAACTTATTCAATCGAGAACATCTCGTGCAGTCGCCCGGCCATATGCACCAATGCCTAGATAGCACAAGGCGATTGGCTTTCCAGGGGGGCGATGTCTTCTGGGACTCCGGAACTCAACAATTACCGGCTCCGATTGTTCTCAGGTACAGGCAAAGTTTGTGGTTGCATGGTAGTGATAGTATCAAACTGGCTAATCATAAGCTACTCCCATCTGCCCTACAGGAAGCATGCAATCAGAATGTAGCCAGCACGTACTCAAGGCCTACCGATCCCAAAGTGACGATGGACTTGTGGTCTATGATTACTCATTGGCACAAACATGAGTATTGTATTTTTGATGGTATCAGAAGCATAAAGATACGCGGGAATGACGTTTCAAGATGTTCAAAGGAATGTGGCCTAGGTGACGCGTGTCGGAAGATAAGATGCATGTGAAATGATTTCACTTCTGTTCCTCCTAGAATAGATCGATACAAATACTCGATGGATATGATTAGTGCACGGAGTAGAAGAAGGCAAACATAGCCACAGCAAAGCCACACTGCTATGTACGAGTACATGTAAAGCAATGATGACGGGTGGACCATTGACCGACAGCTCATGCGAGTGTAATTGTTTTGCTATATTCTCCAGTCATGATTCGTGTGCAGGGTCGTTCATAGGGCTGTCGGGCCCACTAGGTACTTAGTTTGCTGGACCCCGGTCTCAGCGAGGGTTTGGAAGTACTCCTAAGCGTAACTACGTACTATTATCAAATCTCCAGCATGAAGAAGAGTAATTCTACAGATGACCTCATCTCCGAATTAGCCTATAAGGTATCGCGCAGCGTGTTTCGCTCAGTTGCGCCGAGCTTGAGTTCCTCAGCCGACCGCCGATGGCGAAAAGAAAGTCGCATATGCCAAGCGTTTTCCAGGCAACAAAATTAGAGATCTAAATAAAACAAAAAAGTTTGCGGGAAAAAGGAACAGAAGGGTTTATTTGTAGGGGACACAAATCGTGAAGACCCGCGGTTCGGTATGGGGTAGGTTCACAGTTAGCAATCAGCGAATTAGTCAGCCAGGCGTTAGCAGGCTGAGGAGAGAACCCCTTACTGAGCGAGGATCTTGCGACTACCGGGTGACATTCATGATGGTAACCTAATTAATCCTCCAACAGTGTACTCAGTGCACTTCAACGTCGATACGACGCAAAAGTCTACCATCATCGATCCTTGGATGGACTGACGCTGCAAATGCTCACCTGAAGCGTCGAGGCCAATCAGTAACGGGTGTTCGCATCAGCCACAGCAGGCTGAGCAAGTATGACGTAGCATGCATCCCACGAAGCCGTCATACCGAGAAGATCATCTCATCGGCATGGCATGAACGAAGGTTTGGATCTTGGCGGAGTACACTGGCTATGGCTATGGGCTATGTACTGTCAATACTAGTACTGTGTACGGAGTCGCCAATTTGTCTATTAGCCAGAAATAGGCATTAGACCCAATAGTTGGTCTAGTAGTAGGTACCGTGACGCCCTACGCCCTGCTCCCGAAGTGGTCGGTGCAGAGCCAGCGGGCAGTTGCTTTGCCCACCCAGAATTTAAAAGACTCCTGTGGTCCCGCTCCTTCCTTCTCCCTTCTCTTCTTGCTCTTCTTCTCTTCTCAACTTCTCTCACATCTTTCTTCACCTCTTGAGACTCTTCATTCGCATCAAGCCTCCAGAAACCAACGTTCCACCGTCATCGATAACTGTTCCAAGACAGTCACTCCACCCTCCCATTCACCATGCCTTTCACTGCTTCGTAAGTCAATTCCACCCGCAATGACCCTTTTCAGTGACCAGGTAGCTTGCCAGCGGTCCGGACTTTTTATGATGCAGTTCAGCCCAGGCAGCTTCCATAGTACTTTACCCGACAAACAAAGAAACACCGCTAACACAGGTCTTTTTTCTGGACAGTGACGTCTGCAAGATCATCTTTGCGATCATCCTGCCTCCTCTGGGAGTTTTCCTCGAGCGCGGATGCGGTGCTGATCTGCTGATCAACATCTGTTTGACAATCCTGGGTTGGCTCCCTGGTATTATCCACGCGCTGTACGTTGCCTTTCCCACCACTAGTTGAGTTGCTGGGAACGCCATTGCTAACTAGCGTCTGCAGTTACATCATCTTCAAATACTAGACCGCCTGCTTGTTCACCGCCCGATCACCCGGTTCAGTCGACCAGCATTCTTCGTCCCACGATTGTATCCCCCATCAATTGGCAGTCAACATTCCAAACTGAGCGGGGGGAGTGTTGTCCGTGATGTTGTCAGCTTCTAATTGTTCCGCGGGCTTCCGACCGGCTCTAGCCTAATTCGACCCCGCCAATTAACCTACCGTCTGCTTCTGCGCTTTACTGGATCCTCGAGCCACGCGGGTGGAGATGCCCTGTCAAAACACTATGGCGATGGGGTCGGATCTCTCCCATCTTCTATCTCCCTATGTCTCTGATGTTTGTTTCCTCTGTCGCAGTTCTGTTGTTTTTTTTTTCGTTACTTTTTTTTTCTTTTTCGATGATACCAGCTCATTGTGATACTGGGCTTTGCTTGTACTGTTGGCAATGATCAGCTTCTAATGATTAATGGCAATAATTCAAATCACTTGTGAAAATCCATCGTTCCCCACATATGTGTATCTGGGTGCACATTAAGGTAGCTGATTGGAAGATAGAGCGGCCTTCTTATTCCCAGATTACACTTAGGCGACGATTGATGGACAGTGGTGAACAGAGACAAAAAATGGAGAGACACAACCTCTAAAGATTCAATATATGCAGGCACAAATCAGCGTTCAAATGTAAATAAAAAGACATTTGTTCAACTAATGCTTCATCGTGAGACCGGTTCAGAGAGCAGTACATAGACCCTGAATATTCAAGTCAGCTGACCTGACATCATCCTTCAGTACACTCTGCAGCATCGGCGCTAACACGGCGCGTATCGCATCAACATCACTCTCTCTGCCAGCCCCGCATCCATTCAAAAGCGCTAATCATGCTGAAGAAATCCCATCGGTTGACTACGTGTAGTGCATCTATGACAGAATCACCATGTTTCACACAAGCGCCTACAGGGGGCGCAGTCTCATTGTTACCGTCTCACATTTTGGCCTTGTTGCTTTGCAGCCACTCGGCGCCATCATGAAATCCCGTGTCTCCTTTGACGCCCACAATGACAAGGCGATGGCAAAATGTGGAACACGCGGGTCTCTAATCTCTGAAATGGGACGGTTACCCCCTTGACGCTGCCGACCTCCCTCCACAGAATCAGTTTATCATGTTCTTTTACTTGAGCCGGTGCTAGAAATCTGTTTGTTTGTTCGAGCACTGCATGCCTCTTTTGTCAGTGTCTTTGTCTCAATCTTTCAGTAGAATGGTATCACGTTTCCACTAATGGTTGTGGAGGCAGATGAACCTCTGCAGTGTCCAGATTGATGTAAGAAAGCTTGCTTTCTAATGGCATCATGGAAACATGAAATCAACATGCTAACCTAAATTCTAGGTTGACACAAAATGTTATTGTCTCTTTCTCAATGGCTACTCATCGCAGCACTATCACTTCTTCCATGTCTCGCTTCTACATCGCAATCTTCTTATCCTACCGCGACAGCGTCGTCTTTTCCCAGTCTAATACCCAAATGTGCTCGAGAGTGTGTTGACGAATTCGTAATCTCCGACTATCCGGATGATGCGTGTGGAAAAACATGGAATCTCGACTGTTTATGTCGGACAAATACAACCAGTGGCTATACCTTGGGCGAGGCTGCGTTCCGATGCAGTCTGTCGCTGTGTCCCATCAAGACCATCTTCTCCTCCGACCTCTACGACATTTGCGACTCAGTGTCCGGAGCATTGCCGCGGACCCATGCCACAATAACAGCTACAATCACGTCGACCCAGAGTACAACTGCGATAGTCACCACTTCCTCTGAGCCTCACAGTGCCGTCTCTACGGTATCATCTACCTCACTACCTTCTCAAACTCAAACTAGAACCCAGCATACTACTTCTGTTCTTATCGCCTCATTCGACAATCCGACCACTATATCTAATATCATTTATTCGACGAATGGCACCTGGACTACCTCCAGCAGCACCACCAGTAGTAGCAATAGTACCTCGACCGCTGCTGCCGCCGCCGCTACAACCACCACGCACAGTAAGCTTAGCGCTGGTGCGGTGATTGGCATATCTGTCGCTTCTGGAATGGCGGGATTCTTCCTCATCGGAGTTCTGGTGTTGTTTTGGTACAGGAAGAACAAACGTCGGGATGCAGAGGCTCGAGATAGAAACTTCTTCGAGATTGGCGGAGTAATGGCGGAACCTCCAGATTTCGCTTTCCCGCCTCGGCGGCCAACGGGACCCAGGCCTATGCCCGGCGGCGTGGACAGAGACTCGGAAACGTCACGCTTGATAACTCCCTTCGAACCAAGGCTTCATAATCCAACTTTTGTTGCAGATACACCACGACATCGGTATGACGGGGATTCCACGAGATTATATGGTCCCCACAACATCGGCTTCGCCATATCTTCTAATTCTGATGCGGAAGCATCATTAGCGCATTCTACTCCACGGACTCTCTCGAGCTTGCTCCCGGAAAAGCCAACATACGGGCTGTATCCGGAGCCACTAAGATGGAGTCGGCAGAAACGGCCCGGCAGTGTGGGAACACTGTTCGAGGAGGATGTCACCAAGCCACGCAGCTTCCTTGCCAGTCCTCGGTTGAACCAAGGTCCATCCACTTGGTCACGCAAACCGCAACCCGACCGGCCTCATAAAAGACCTCCAGTGGCCGGTCTACCCGCCCATCCACGCGCTATGTTGCATGGGTTCCGAGAAGGCCAAGAAGGGAAGCTTGCTCTGAGAGGACCAAATCGGTACCAAGGACCAGGATATGGAAGCCCTGCGGAGACAGCCTCCCTCTCGAACAATGTCGTTGGGGGTTCGGCCCATCCTTCCCCAAGGTTGAGTCACGAAGATTATGCCGATGCATACTGGACAGATCGTGATGCTGGTCACACAAGGCCTGCTAGGACGTCACCATATCTCGACGACAGCCCCGGGGGAGGCCGGCGTTTGATCTACGACACAGACCCAATTCCTTATCACACATACGGCGAAGGACCCCAACCCTCCCGACGCGAATCACGCCATTCGGGAAGTCTGCGGCCCCTCACTCCGGTGCGAGAAATCAGGACCCCGAACCTCGAGATTCCCAACTGGCAATACGAGACTCCGACCGGCAGCCGGATCCCTGTCGGCCTCCCACGCATGCCGAACTTGAGGTCCATCAGCCCTGCGCAAGAAATCGTTTCCCGGCCCCGGATTATGCGACAGGATGATATCCGGAGGGTGCAGATTCGCCGGGTCACGCCCGAGCCCGATGAGGAGCCGACAGCGGGGACCTACGCGCCCCGTGGTCCCTGGCATGAGGAGGACGGTTATGGTTCGCGATACGGAGCCAAAGTACGCAGGGCGTCCTTCGACTCCGTTTCGTCCGCCGACAGTCTGAGGAGGCCGCCTGTTCCGAGAAAGCCGGTGCCAATGGAGCAGCGCAACCTGACACCTTCGAGGCAGGGCTCGGATCTCATCCTCCGGGTAGATTGAGCGGGCTTACTGCTCGCTTAGCTCGCTCTGGGTAGTGAGTGGGCCGGTCTTTCCTTCTTCAGGGATATCGCTCTTTATGGTTTCTTCCTGGAGAAGATGTCCTTCTCTTTTTTTGGTGTATTATAAACAATTCGATCTATGCATATATTTTTATATATATCGGGATATTGTTGGAACTGCGGAGATGTTTTCAAAGCGTGCTGTCATTGTGTATAAAGTGTTTGTTAGGCGGGTAGGCGGATGGATTCAATAAGATGCATTTTGAGAGCTTGTATCCAGTTTCATGTAACCGTCTAGAGTTCTTTGGGTCTACAAATCAGAGTACAGAGGATTTTGCAAAAATCAGCTTGATAAATGGTTGTGTGCGTATACCTAAGATAGATGGCATTCCTCGCTGTAGATCTTTGTCCTGACTCTACGACCGCATGATTTTGTCGGGGGTTTTCTTTCCGGTCGGCAAGGTTCAGATCTCACAAAGGCCCGGCCTCACTTGAGTGAGCTATCATTCTTTTTACTCTATCCCAGTTTGATGATGCTTTTCGAGTGGGGAGCTGAGAATTTCTTTGAGGAAGCGGATGTTTGGGGAATACGTGCCAGGTTGATAAAGGCAGGCGGGGTTAGCCTGGAAGATTTATATAAGGATTGACGGAAGCAGTCTCGTGCTCGCTTTATCTTCCTTCTCGCAACCCTAGAAACAGGCCTACTGAGTTATCATAGAAGACCTGGCAAAAATGAAGACTGAATCACCACCACCACCACCCCCCGCCGCCGACCCAGTGCCCCCAGAGGAAATGGAGATGATGGATTGTGATCCGGCGATGTGGTCTGGGCCGGTTACGGAGCCACCGGAGCTGGCCATCATCAATCTCCTCAATGAGGCGGGGGTGCCCTGTGTGCTTGTTGGAGAGCTGGCGCTTCGAGCCTACGGCTTGAGTCTTTATCCGAAGAGCATAGATCTGGTCGTCGCGGACGAGAACGCTCGGCGTGTCGAGGAGCTCCTTGAGGGCCGGGGGCTCGCATTGTGTTTCGATCGCAGGTGCTCCCTCTGGAACGAGGGCGACAAATACTTCCTCTCGGAACTACACTGCCACCTCACCGCTCCCAACAACGTCAAGGAGAGTATTAGGGGGTGGAAGAACGGCCTGTTACACATCTGGGCGAAATCTTTGCTCCTGGAGAAGTTGCCGAATGGCATCCCCCTCCCGAGCAACATCGCCGCCCACGACCAGAACTTCATGCTGACATCCGATCCCCGCCTCCCCGAGCTGGCCCTCGACCTGCTGGGCGGGATACCCACTCGGTGGATCGGCCGTTGGGCGGCGGGAGTCGTGATCCTGACGCCCAAGGCCTTCCTGGAGCAGATGTTCTGGCACGTGCTCCGGGACATCCGTCCTTACGACGCCAAGTTCAAAAGTCCCTGGGAGGTGCACATGTGCAGGTTCGCGCTCTGGATTGCGAGCCAGCCCCCAGATTCCTATACGCTCTGTCCGAGTGTCGCAACCCTCAGCTGGACAGCCGCGCGGCAGTTTCTTGAGCTGCTGAGCTGTCCTCACGTCGGCCATCAAGACGCCTGGAACTTTTTCTTCACGCTGCAGGGCGTGTGGCACAGAGAAGGGCTGCTGACGAAAAGCCCGCGACAAGGCAGGCAAATACTCCAGGCTGTCGAGGATTATGCCCTAGAGGACTGAGTTGCGGCAAGGATCGGTACTATTAGTGTCGCCTTTTGACTGGATTGGAGTGTGTAGGTTGGCCTAGTCCGCTTCCTCTGTTAGAATAAGAATGATTCAATAAAAAGAAGTAACAGTACGAATGATGTTTTGCGTCCGTCATGTGTAAGATATTCCAACCCTTGTAATACCCAGTCCCAGTAGCCTGCTGTGTTATCTCTTTGTTGCACAGTGTAGGGTTTGACTGACTTCTTGAGAACCATCCCTGTAGTATATAGCTACATGGTAAGTCTGAATTCACTCGACTACATACATTACCTACACAGTGGATAGGCTAGTGGCTTGGTGGAAAGACCACTTATGCAAGCCCCTCTTTTCTATCTCTGGCCGGCAGGGGGGAAGGCCGATGGGGGCTGCAGTGTCCGAGTCTCCGAGATGTGACCTGACCCACAACATCCCCGCGGAGAGGATATGAGACACGCTGAGTCTGGGAACCGAGGGAAAGAAAGTGACTGCAGTGATATCAGAGTGATATTCTTCTTGAGAAGTTCCAAACAAGGAACCAGAGCCATGTGAAAATCAATCGGAGGGTAGACTCGGGAGGTCGGAAGTAACGGAGGGAGGAGGGGAGGAGGAGAAGGAGAAGCAGAAGACAGAGGGAGCCTCTCGGCTTCGATGACGTCAAGCCCGGCGATCGGTCCTGAGGCAGTGAGGCAGCAACGATCCAATCGGCAAAGAGAGGACTTTCGCATCCTAGGCAGAAGGTTTCACAATTTCACAGTACTCAACTATACACAGGGCTAAACTTGATTGAGTACTGGTTCAGGGGAACCTAAAGACACGTGTAACGTCACCGCTGATATAATAGTCATTGGGTCAGTTAATGGACCTATTAACGTTACTGTTTTCATGGCATGTTTGTACCACTCCACTTTTATTATTGATTGCGGGTAAAAACGCCATGTACGTACTTTGACCTGTGCCTAGAACAATAATGTACTGTACGGAGTACTGTAGTTACACATGCAGATAGATGTACATAGTCATAGTAGTAAGGTAGTACCTAGTAGTATAGTAGTCTGTACACACACCCATGGTATTGAGCCTTACCAATCACCTTCACCGCTTTGTGGCTACTCCTGCTCTATGGATTGTTTGTTTGGTTTCCATTGATGTCAACGACTCAACAACCTCTTCTCAACCTCCCCCCCACTTTTCAGTGCTCTCCTCGTCCTCCCCTTGGCTCTTCCCTCATTCTCAACCGCGTTCGCCTGTTCTACACTTAATATTGAGTGTACTATGATATCAATTCCGACGCGTGTTGGATCGTCAACTTCAGTGATGACAGACCCCACGATCTTCCCTCGACCCAAACCGGTCTGCAGCGGGAGGGAAAGTCCAGATGGAATGAATGATCGAATTTGCGCCGAGGAGCGAGTTTGCATCACTCCCCGCTCTCTACAGGACTGATGCATGTCCTTTGTTCGTTATCGTTGACTTTCCCAGATGTTTTGGCGCCCTGACCATTGCTCTGGAACGAATCAGATTCTCAGGTTGTTCCATTCACATCATCATCAGGCATGAGATGGGGCGGAGTGGAAGTCTGATACAACCCGCACCATAGTTAGACGGACCCTCTTGCTTAGGCCTTCAGCATTCAGCCTTCGACCACCGGCAATGACATACTTTGGTTGCGGTGGGGTTTACATCCAGCTGCAGTGACCACAACACACAAGGAATTCCGACTCACCACTAGGATCGAGCGTTTTCTCTCGATGACGGTACCACGGGCTGGGCTGTACTGTCTGTCCCGATTTTTCGCTACGTGCCTCAAACTAACTACGTAGAGCGCATATCCCAGATGTCCTCCACCCACTTACATATACACTCTTTCCTATATTAAGGGCCTCGGGTCCAATGCATTCCCCTTTCGATTCTCAACTTTCTTCCTTTCATATCCACCGAATCAATCTTTCTCATTGCATCCTTGTGCTGGAACCGTTGCGGCCCTCCCGCTGTTGATCTTCTGTGTCCACGCCAAACTTGTGTGGGCGACTCTGACAAACCCCTCAAAATTCAATTAGACTGTGTACGGAAACAGGTTCTCTTGTGAAATATATTCTGGCTCCTCCTCAGGATCCAGTGATCGTCTTGTTTACACATACTCAAATCGTTCCGAAAGCTTCGCAGACCTGCGACCAGTTTTCCGCAGGGGCAATCCTCTCAGCGATTGATCGATCTGTCTGGCCAGCTCAGGGCAGCTAACCGTCGACCATTTCTTGTTCTCATCCGCGGGCCCACAACGCGCTCCACCCACCCACATATCATCGTCACCCCGGGACTATCCTGTTCCACTATCCACAATGACTACTACCGACGGTTTCGGTACCCAGAGGGTATGTCGGCTGTCCAGCCTGGATGCTTCTCGGGCCGACCTCTACGGCGGCCCTAATGTAGTCCTCCCTCCCAAGCATTTGATGGCTTCTAGCGATTTCCATGATACAACTATCACAATGGAATTGGACAAGCATCAGTCAGATGTCGAAACATCGTCGGACGATGGTTCTGTGCGCGTTGCGTCCCCAGTGCCTGAGCGACACCTCACCACTGCTGATCACTTCGCTCTGGGCTTCGACATTGACGGCGTCCTCATTCGAGGAGGAGAGGCAATCCCCGAAGCGGCCGCCGCCCTCAAGTACATCAATGGCGACAACCCGTACGGGGTCAAAGTGTATGTCTCCCCTGCAGCACCTGTTCGCAAGATTGACCGGGCTAACTATTCATCTTCCAGTCCTTACATATTCGTGACGAACGGCGGCGGCAAAACAGAAGAGGAAAGATGTCTGGATCTCAGTCGTCAGCTGGAGCTGGATGTCTCCCCCGGCCAATTCATCTGTGGCCACACCCCCATGCGAGAGATGGCCGAAAGATATAACACCGTACTGGTCGTTGGTGGTGAGGGTGAAAAATGCCGTCATGTAGCCAAAGGCTATGGCTTTAAGGATGTGGTCACTCCCGGAGACATCATCAAGACACGACACGACACCACGCCATTCCGCAAGCTTACCGACGAAGAATACAAGAACTCTCGGGTCATTGACTTTGACAAGACGAGGATCGAAGCAATCTTCGTGTTTGCTGACAGCCGAGACTGGGCTGGCGATCAGCAAATCATCTTAGATCTGCTCCTGTCTCAAGATGGACGTCTTGGAACTCGATCCGAGAAGTTTGATGAGGGCCCGCCTGTCTTCTTCTCCCACAATGACGTGGTATGGTCTACTTCTCACGAGCACACTCGCCTCGGCATGGGAGCATTGCGGGCTTCTCTCGAAGCATTGTACAAGGTTGTTACTGGCAAGGAGCTCTCAACCATCTCTTTCGGCAAACCGCAGATGGGTACATACCAGTTTGCTACCCGACTCCTGCGGCAATGGCGAAAAGAGAGCCATGGCATCAACAAGCCACCGGGCACAGTGTACTTTATTGGAGATACCCCTGAATCTGATGTCCGGGGAACAAATGAGTTCGACAAGACCACGGACACCAATTGGTTCTCGATTCTTGTCAAGACCGGCGTCTACCAGGATGGAACCGTGCCCCGCTACCAACCCAAGCATACTTGTGCCAACGTGTTTGAGGCGGTCAAATTTGCTATCGACCGTGAGATGGCCAAAGACGGCCAAATGCCACTGACTTCCGGGGCTGATTTGGATTCCGGCATCGACTCGGATTCAGCAGCCGCACGTCACTAAATGGAACACTTACGCTACCAACACTACCCATTGATGCTGCGGAAGGTACCGACAAGTACAGTTTGCCCTGATCTTCTGTGGTTCACTTAGGTCTTGGTTGGTCAGGGCATTGCAGCATCCTATTTACTCAAGCATGTCTTCCTGGGGCATGATTTCCAGGATTCACTTGAGTCATGAGTTTACGATAGATTCCCTTTGGATGCCACGGGTATGGAGTATGGATACATTGGCTTGTCATGGGTTTGGCGTTCTCTTCCTTTTTTTGTTTTACATATTAGGAATCCAACATGTCACTATAGATAATTTGAAATATTATTGAATCCTGAACTCAATCCGGTTACATCTTCGCAATGGTTCCTTAACTGAGCTGACTCGCCCGCCCCTTGTGTGTACTTTGAACCATATAGTAGTCCATGGCTAGGTAGTCTTAGTAGTCTGAGACCGGGGTAAGATTGCCGCGGATGCTAGACTAGTAAACAGTACACAAAAAGAGAGGCTCGCCGACGCGGGCTGGGAACCCTTCGTTACAGGCCCGGGCACATGCACGTCACGTCCTTCCGACCGAGTCAACAGTCAGGATATGATTTCCCGGACTCGCTCCACCAAGTGTATTGTCTCCGCGAGTGGCAGTGGTCGGCTAGAGTCTGGAGGTGGAGACGTGGAGACCTGATGGACGGGCACGCTTGGCCTGGGTTTAGCGTATGCAGAATGAGCGCATCGAAGCATGCGGGGTTTACATTCAGACCATGTGTACTTTTATGGGGAAATCGTGGGGTACATACATATGCATCCATGTGAGCTGTATTCAATTCAAGAACGATGGCTGTGCTGATTTGATGCTGTAGGCTTGACTTGTTGCCTGTTCGTGGGTTATATCATGATCTTAGAGGGTGCCTGCGTGCGGGATTGGAACTGGGTGAGGCTTGAGGCTGTTTATTCTCCCGATTTACCATTGAGCCGTCATGTTCCTTTTCCCTCCTCCTCCTCCTCCTCCTCCTCATCTTCTCCTTTTCAAAGTGCATCAGCAAGGTAGGTACTACTAACCCCGGCTAGAGCGCTACAACCAAGCTACGGAGTACTAATGACCGCCTCAAAGCTGACTAGTCTCCAATAGATGTCATGCACTACCCTTCTCGATCACTTGCAGGAGCATCTGGTCTGCACAGCATCACTTCTGGGGTCTTGTCCCCGCATCTACAGTACAGTACCGCTTTGGCACTCGCCATACCTACTCATCAATCCAGCGAAAACCCCTGCAACAGTTGTCCGCCAGGTGAGAACCAACCCGCTTCACTAATTCCTGGAGTGGCAAAGACCCAATCGCACCGCAATACCATATCAACTAATGCATTGGCATACAGCCATCGGACCTGACAGCTAGCGCTTCTCCAACAGAGTGTCCAATCGTATAACCTTCCAACTTGGGGTCGGCAGTCACTCTAACCTTGAATACCATATAAGGCGGCTATACCGGAACGGCCCAAGCGTCGTGCAACCAAGCCCCCGGTCATCCTCGCCACACTTAAATCTCACCACTTGCCTTAGCGTTGGAGGGGGATGGCGGGGATCGGGCTGTTATTGACTTTCACTTTACCTTTCCATTGAGCCGGTCCTGGTCGATCACAAAGGTCAGTGTTCCACAGTTTCTTCGTTCTTGGCCGCTTAAGAGGACTTGGCGAGGATGTGCCATGTTCACTCATTCTTCGGTGTCCGAGGTTATCCGGCTGGGATGAGAAGAGCTGCGCCAGGTCTTCCTGATCCTGAATTTTGAGTTCCACCCGGTAACGCTTGAAAGGATTCGATTCCACGTAAGGTCTTCAATTCGGACGTGAAGTGTTGTCTCGCAGTTCGAGTCAGGCAAAGGAATTGAAACTGCAGACAGAGCTGGGAGCCACATCTCACCGTACACGGCTGCAATGTGTATTGTTCTTCACTCGTCAATAACTGATCATACTACGGTGATTGAGCATCATCAGTCGGATCTACGTCATGCTGCTCAGGGAACATCATGAATTGTCAGGTGAAAAGACTATTTTACAGATCTATCTAGAATTACAGGGAAGCTAAGCGACAGTCGGCTACCAATCCGGCTCTTCCATATCTGAGTCAATGCCACGCCACATAGACAAGCCCCCTCGCTGGATGCCACACATTAACAGGACGGTGTGCATCACGGTATTGTGCATCGTTGAACAGCCTACAAAGCCACGGTGGGAGCCCCAGTCCAAGGCAGCAGAGCACCACTCATCCAACGTTTCGTCAGTTGCTTCGGGCACGAAATGATAGTCGCAGACCGCAGAGTAAATATCGTGCAGTGCTACATCACGGACCATGAGTTGTCCCGGGTACAGCTCCAGGAAACGGTCATTCCGTTCAACATCCAACAACCTGTAGACGCCACGGGAGAAAGTGCATCTCAGATTTCCCAGCTCATTCTCCTCCAGATCCCAGAGCGCTTGGGCTTCGAGGCTCACCCGAAAGCTACAGAAGCCAATTGTGCAGCCCGACAACCGCCAAGGTAGGCCCCATCGATGAGAGAGGAACGCCTGCACTATCTGCTCGTGTGCCGCGCCGTGTATCTTGGGCGCCAAGATCAATGGCCAGCGCGCATTCAAGGTTTCTTGCCGATGGTTAATATGATCCATCAGGATCTTGCTCGACTCGGTGAGGAGCTCCAGCGTGGTCAAGACAACCCCGCGCAGCTGCGGGTTGGGTACTCGCGGGGCCTGCTCATCGTCGCCTCCATTGTCCATGAGATCGTATGCCCTATGCCATACCAGCCGCTCGAATCCCGCGACAGTGCAAGTCCACTCCACCTCGACCTGGTCTCCCAAGCCCGGCGGCAGCTGCTCCCAGGCTTCTTCGTTCTCGTCGGGGATATAGACGAAGATGATCAACGGTTTGGCCTCCGGCACACGCGACGGCACGTGGTCCTCGAATTCATATTCGCTTCTATTGTCAAATCCGTCGTCACTTTCGCCAAGGTCTTCTGTGCCCGTGGTGAAAGAATCAAAAGGCGTGGCTCGCAATAGCGGGTAGTCCGGCCGCCACGCCGCGTTCCGGTCGACCCCAGGGACCTTGCTCAACCACTCGGCGGTTCTCCCCATTTCGTCCCCGTTGTTCATGGTCTGAGGCCCCGTGGGCGTGGTAGCACCAGCAGGGGCACGGTCTCTGATTACACTCATGGTGCCTGTTGTTGTTGCAGGATCCTAGAAATCCTGTTCTGGTGCCCCGGGAGAGGATGCTATAGTGTAGGTTAAGCGTAGGCGTGGTGTTTCTGAACGCTTTCTCAGAGAAAAAAAATTAGCCAATGCTACGCGCACGGTCTTCTGACTTGCGGTTTGGAATATGTTGTCATCTGAGGCAAAGAAACAAGTATACTGATAGATGTCGTTGAAGCCTTTCGAGCTGCATAAATCGCATACTCAGGTCTTCTTCTGGTGGTGCAGCTTCCAGCGGGGGCGTTCCATTAACAATGTCTGCTTCTTAGTGGTTCATTGGTGTATTGAAAAGGATATGCAGCCGTTGTCATGGAACTTGCCTTCATGTATACAGTAACACGCAACAGCAAAGGGTTGGATCCTGAGGAAGGCGCGGTGGGATCCTGGGGACGCCGGTCTAAAGGGGACAGGGGTTGTAATGACACGATCAGCGTGCTACATGTACTGACAGGCTCTATGAAAATACCATTGTCAAAATTCACTAGAATCTATTTGACAAGCTAATATGACAGCAAAGGCTGTACTTGTGCGGGACAAACAAGTATAATGCCTCATGAGTTGATCACACGCGTGAACACAGAGCATTGAGCTTGTTCGATTACTCCAACAATCCCAAAGCGAAAGATTGATTAGAAATTTGACACTGCCCGCCTCTTTCAAGCATCCACATTCTACGATCAAATAGAAACTGCAACCACCCCAGCTAGATAGGGCTGATATACCTATTTCTCGGCAATTCAACAAGGGAGTACGGAGTACCAGCAGCAAAGCGCGACAGGTCAGTAGACCTGGCAGACACTACTAGCAGAGTATTCCATACGAAGTGTCGAATATTTACCAGCCACACAAAAAGGATTCTCTGTTCCTGTCGAAATCAGTGGTAAAGTCATCATCGCGGGTGATGCTCAGCCGACTGGGGAAGAAAAAAAGATGATGCAAAAAGCTAAGGTCGTGCCCGGGTTCGAACCGGGGTTATTGGAACTTTCTGTCCAATTGACGTCAAAATCCAAAGTGATAACCACTACACTACACAACCTGTAGATGTCATACTGATTTAATCAATATCCTATAATGAATCTGCAAAACTAGCGAGTAGGTTGGAGCTTGATTCACTAATTGGCTTTGTTTGGTGTTAATTCGCAAATGGGGCTGATTTATGGTGTTCGGGGAATAGTATATTTTTTTTTCTAAGAGTGGGGTGCTTATGTTTTGTTCAGGAACAGTGGAAGGGTTCACGTTGTGTAGGTGATGTTTAGGGGAAAATACAGATCGAGCTTCGAGTATAGTGTTGCATTGTAGGTGTGATTCAATCTATCTAGTTCCCTACATACACCAAGTGACTAACGCCTTCTTCGAAAAAAAAAAAAAAAACCCCCTGCATGCTGTCTTTGTGCATCGAAAAGAAGAATAGCTATGTCTTTCTACGGTCGCGCTGGGCTTCTGTCCCAAACATACGACCTCTACCAAAAAGTGACGATGGGCAGGGTCTTATATCTCAAACTCCTGGTCTAACCAATGCTTCACAACCACCTGGCCCTCGTCGAATCCCCTCTTCTTGACTCGAATGATGATAGCAGCGTGACTATGCCGATGGTTATGGATCCAGACCGGGAACTTCCGGAAGCCCACCGAGTTCAGCGAATCGATGATGGAGAACTGCGCCGGAGTCAGTGCCAGCGTGGGGAATTTCTCGCTCGCAAAACTGTCGGTCGTGCTGCTGCGCCGGAGCAGAGGCTCGATGTCGTCTTCATCGAGTTTGCTTTCCAGGTCCGTCGCGGATGAGGTTGTTACTTGACGTCTCTTGAGTGCGTCGAATGTCTTCTTATTGGATGTGGTGGTGGTGAAAGATAGATAATCGGGCTTCTGGCGAGCGCCGGCGCTCTCGAAGACCTCCTCGACGACGTGTTGGACCTCGTTGACTAGGACGGGCACGCGGTAGCGGTCAAAGATCTTGCGGGAGTGGGCGGCCTCGTGGTGGCGGATGCGGCGTTGGCTGCGGAAGTTCTGGATCACTGCGTTCAACAAGAATAAGGGCACGCCGATGATGACGAAGGCCGTGAAGAGGGTTTGGAAGGGCAGGTTCGTGAAGAAACTGGCGACCTGGCGCTGGAGCTGCTCCAGCCAGGACGGACGCGGGGGCTGGACGACGGTGACGGGCTTGGTGGCATCGATGACGACGGGCTCGTACCCCTCCACGTAGTCGAACTGTACATTCTCCAGGTCCTCGAAGGGGTTGATGGCTGAGATGGCGGTGGTGTAGAAGATGGTGGACCGGTCGTTGACGATGTTCGAATAGACGCAGCGATGCTTGAAGGTCTTCAGCGCCTTGATGAAGATGCTGTCCGGATCCGCCAGCACGCTGAGCAGCGGGCGCCCCGTATCGCGAAAGGTGTCGATCATGAACAGCTGCTTCCCCGACATGGAGATCGTCCGGGGCCCCACATTGTTCCACAGGAAGCCCCAGGTCCCCTTCAGCGGGAAGCGCACCCCGACGTGCGGCGAGACGAAGGTGGTGAAGTTGACGGGCTCCAGTTTGTCGAGCCACCCCCGCGCGTAGAGCAGTCCCAGGGCGTATCGCGCCACCAGCCCTCCGAGCGAATAGCCGACGACACTCAGTTTTCGGATGTTGTGGCCTTCTTCGGCGAGTCGCTCCAGGGTCTCTTCCACCTCGTGGGCTAAGCGCTCCCCGCCGAGCTCAATGCCATCGTAGGTGTAGTTTCCGGAGTTGCGCTTTGCGGCGAGGATGTGGAGGCGGTCCTCCTTGTATCGGTCTCTCAGGGAGGTGGCGATGAAGTCCAGGTGGGAGGGATTACCCCATAGTCTGACGTGACACGACGGTCAGCAGAAAATCTCGTTGTCTGCATTAGTCGAATGGTCTTCTTACCCATGGACCAACACGCAAAGATGATCTGCTTTACGCGACGTCTCAGCCGGCGTACGGCCGTTATCAAGCTCCAGCTCCATAGTCAATATGTAGAAGTCAAGAGTTTCCTCTTGCGATCAGGGTCAACGGGCGGTTTATGTAAGACCTCCTCAACATTATCCGCCAGACTCCGCCGGATTTAGGCACGGTTTATCGCGATTAAAGGGGCCATGTGGCTGCTTCCTTCGTTGTCCGACTGTCAAGCATTAAGTTCCCTAGCAAAGGGGAGCCCAGCAAGCGCTGACTCAGCCCGATAACGAGACGTCATGTCCTGGTGCCTGATGCAATGAATGGCCCAGAAGGGCCGGTGGCAGTTCATATCAGGTGTCTCGGGCTGGGCTTTACATGGAGCTGGTGAGGCTGAGCACTGCGCAAAACACATTCAGGTAATTCACTGCCGTCACTGCCGTCTCTGAGCCTCCGAATCTTTCAAATGATGGATGGTGATTGAGGTTGAGGATCAGCAAGAGGGTGCGCCTTTGTCTGTTCGTGTCTGGTGTTTGCATCATTTGCACCGCGTTCATCTCCAACACGTGCAGTCAGTCTAGCCTTTGGACGCTTTCCCTTTCGACATTCCACTCAATATTCTCTTTGTTATTCGGGTCTATGAAGGACTGAAGTCAGACTGGCTACCTTGGCTAGACCCTGAGCAATAATTTTTCTGCTCACTCACATCTCAGTTCGACATGATCTTCTGGTTTTAGCTCCAGGACTAGCCGCATCGCTTCTCCCCCGCGGCTTGCCAAACACCGAGTCATTTATCCATACAAGAGAAGCGCAGCGCCCGATTGGTCTCTGCTTGGATGCTTGCTGTGTTGCAATGAGTATTGGTTGTCACTCTTTTGGACTATGATCTCTCATCTTTGCCTGTATCTCTCCTTGAGCATCTTATCTTTACCCACCCCTCACAATGTTCGCCCCCCTCGGCTTGTTTAAGGACATACCTTGTCCGGAGGGCCAGAGCTGCTCCCTCTTGACTTGCATGTTCTCTCACAAGGATCTCGCTCCAATTGTTGATAGCCAAAAGACCACCTCGGCTGTTGTCCATGCATCAACCACGAAGCATGGAAATGCCGCGTCGTTTGGGAATTCCGCCCACACAATGTCAGCCGCCGCAGATACGAATGAGAGAGAACCGAAGATCTTGAAGAGGGATTCTCCACCAGCCCCATCCAAAGCTGCAGGCTCCGGGCCAAATGCTTCGGCCAAGTCTTCACCCGCGCCTCAGCCGCCGGTGCCTTCACAGCCGGTCAAACTACAGTCACTGTCTCGAAGGGTCTCTCCGCCACCGAGGCCAGCATCAACGACAGTCAAGACGAATGCGCCTACGCCTGCAAAGCCCCCGACAGCGGGGGCGGCGAAGTCGCGCCCGCCGAGGCAGGCTCCCCGGGAAAGTTTGAATCCCCGCATGTTGACGAAAGCGCCCGCGCCGCATGGAACCAGATTGTCCATCCTAACGAAACTGCATGCTGCCATGTCTTCGCAGAACGAGAAGATCGCCAGGAACAAAGACAGTAAAGACAAATGGCTTGTTCTCACACCCAATGAGCTCATCACAATGGCTCTGGACGAAGAGGAGAAGACCGCCCGAGGCAATCCGAGCATATACGCTAACGTCATCAAGCTTCGCATCGTCCGGTTCATGAAAATGACTAAAGAGGAATGGACGACGGAGGTCAAGAATCACCTGAACGAGCGGTACTACAAAATCGACCCCAACGCGGAGCAGTCGAGGCCGCAGGCTCTTAGTACGGGGTTGAGCGCAGAAGCGGAGATTGCACTGGCAAGTCAGCTGATTACTCCAGTTGAAGGGCTTGAACAATTTGGATATGTCACAAAGGCACCTTCAGCTGCGGAAATCGAGAGTGCCAAGAAAGGTGTCGTGGAATCGAAGGGCTGGGAGAAGTGTGATCGGTGCGGTGGGAGATTCCAGGTCTTTCCAGGCCGTCGCGAGGATGGTTCTTTGACGTCCGGGGGAGAATGTGTTCACCACCCTGGGAAGCCGTTCTACCCTCCAAGAAGACAGACGGATCATATAACAGGACACAAAGAAGCTTACTATTCATGTTGCAATGAAACGTTGGGTACTTCTTCTGGCTGCACCAGAGGCAAGACTCATGTCTACAAGGTCTCAGAAACCAAAAGACTTGCTTCTGTTCTCCAGTTCACGGAGACGCCAGCTCAGCCATTCAAGGGGCCACTTCCACCGGTCTGCTTCGACTGTGAGATGGGCTATACTACGTTAGGATTGGAATTGATCCGACTGACCGCGGTCAGCTGGCCTCAGGGCAAGCCACTTTTGGATGTTCTCGTCAGGCCGATGGGGGAAGTATTGGACTTGAACTCGCGGTTCTCTGGTGTCTTTCCTGAACACTACACCAAGGCTATGCCCTATGACGGTTTCCAGAAGGAGGCGGAAGCGACACCACATGAGAATGATGAGGCAGAGAAGCCAACCTTGAAGGTTGTCGATTCGCCGGCTGCAGCCCGCGCTCTGCTATTTAGTCACCTTCAACCGGATACGCCTTTGATCGGACATGCGATCGACAACGACTTGAATGCTTGCCGGATAATCCACCCAACGATCATCGATACTGTTATGATATATCCCCATCCGCGCGGATTACCGAATCGGATGAGCCTGAAGACCTTGTGCCGAAGACATCTCGACCGCGACATACAAACAGGCGGTAGTCTCGGTCATGATTCGAAAGAGGATGCAATTGCTACAGGTGACTTGGTCAGAGTGAAGGCAGTCGAGACCTGGAAGGTGCTGAAGTCGAAAGGCTGGCAGATCCAAGGCAACAAACTAGTGCCCCCACCGGGGACAGAGAAGGCTGAAACTGGATCATCAGCGGGGAGGCTTGGACCCGGTGCCGGTCACAAGAGAACGAATGCTAGTCTGGGCCCGTAAAGTAACGTCGTTGATACAAGCCGCTATACTGCAATTATCCTTATATAATGTGATACCCATCCTATGTCTACGTGCCAAGTGAAAAGAGGTTGAGATGTAGGTTTGCTTCATTGATTCATATCTACCATTCATAACGTCATGAGTAGATCGAGCGACGACAAACCCAGCGAATGAGTGTGGAGGTCGCCTTTTCAGGTGT